GAGAGAAAGAGTTGTGACTTGAGACTTGACGACATTGGATCCAGACTGGACATTGGGATTCAGACATTTTGACGAGGGACTATTTGGGCCTGTACCGAGACTTGGTGTTGACGACATTCCCATCTTCCCTCCTCTTTCGTCTAACCCCTCCTTCGTCTGTGTATGGTTGGGGCTGGCGCAGTCTTCTTGTGTGAAGCGCCAGACCCCCTTCACACCAGATAACGATGATGATGATGTGTGTTCAGAGCTGCATTGCAATATTGATTGTTCGGATCATTCGTATCTAAGTCTTCCGCTGAGTTATCTTGTACTTTGTATTGAAGAGGTCGGTTCTTGTTCTGGTCTGCACGTTACAGTATGCAACACTCTCCCTCTCTCTCTCTTGTGCGCACGCTGAGCCCCCTTGCTTTGGCTCATTGAGCCAGGCTCACAATTCGCAATCCTGAGGTTGATGTATGGTGGGTTTGAGCATCGGTGTTTGCAGCACAAAGGCTGCACCAAAAGGGAGCACATCATTCCCCCCCCCCCATGCTCTCTCTCTCTCCCAATTAAAAATATTCAAACCAAGCTTCTTTCTATTCAACTTTCAAAACCTTACATCAACCCTTAGGGCTGCGTTCCCCACACCCACGTGGTAGACAATAATCTCTGTGAATGATTGTTTGCCAATGTCGTGGACTATGCGGACTACGGTATTCATCGTTTGGATTAATTTTTAAGTTTGAGAAGAGTCTAAATTGACTGAGAAAAACATTTCGGCTTTACAGGACCTGCAATTGCTACAGTGTAGCCTCTTTTTATCAAACTGAAAAAGAAACCGTTGACGGGAGTATTGTAATGTTATCACTTCGCCATATTTGTGTTAATAGTAACTTAAGAGTTGATACAACTCGATACCAGTGATCTTCAGTGATTCGCCAATTGTGCCTGAGTATTGCTTGCTGTGCATGGCATGGATTGATTTATTCCAACAGGCCTACTCAATGGTGAACAAACATCCCTCTTGTCTCCCTTTTTTGGCCCAATTGCCAATTGGGCCAATTCGCTTCTGTTGTGTACTCGTACACTCCGTGCAAGATTACAGAGTCACATGTGAGAGAGAGTGAGTTGTTGTTCTTTTTTTTTTTGTTTGTTTGCAGTTGTTGTTGTTGATTCTTCTTCTTGTTGTTGTGGCTATAAACAGAGCCAGACTCAAGAAAAAAAAAAACGAAACCGGAAAGATATAAAAAAAGAAAAAATCAGAAAGAAAATATAAAACTCACCTCGTTTCCTCTGTAGGGCCGTTGGTGCCCCACCAACTGGTGAAACGCAGACCTAAGTTCGAATTCAAGCGCAACCACGTGAACATAAGGGTGAAGCTTCCTTCAGAGTGGCTCCCTGTTGTCCCCCTCTCGCAGTCCCTGCCAACGGCCACATCCCAACTGTGGTACCCCCACTGACTGTTGAAATACCGACTCAAGTTCGGATCCATATGCAACCAAGGCCCCCTTCCCCCCTTGTCGTGCCACAGCCCCTTTGTTGTATAGTTGTTGTTGTTGTTGTTGTTCTTGCTTCTTACTTTTCCTTTTTTTCTGTAAGCTTGTTATGTACTGGAATGAACTTCAGTCGACAACCAATTCACACATCCCCATACACGCATGCAATTGTAGAGTAGTCTCGGAGAAGGAAAACCCACACAAAACCGGTGAGAAGATATGCAGAGCGGAAACTCAAAAGACACAGAGAATTGAAAAACGAATTTCAATTCTGCAATCCCCTGTCCTCCTCCAATCAATCCAGAGTACTTGTTCCAAGAATCACAAGCGCGTTTACAACAACCCCGAACAACCGAAAACAAATGATCAACAAAGTTTTAAGTAGTCTTCTTCTTCCTCCTCGCCACCTCATCACCCTGGCAATGGCTGCTGTAGCAGCAGTAACCTCACAGCCGTCACAATGTGCCCATCTGAACCAGCGACCCCAATGATAGCAGCGCCAGCTCAGCCCCCGCACAGGAGTGCAGCGCTGGAAGTACTGATGAAGAAGGAGACAACCGATCCAGCACTTCGAAGAAGATGAAGTACCTCGTGAGGAGGAACGGAAGATATGGCTGCCAAGTGGAAGATGGCAGCGCCCAAACCCAACAACACAATCCTGTGGAAGCTCTTATGCAGAGCTGCGGAAAAGCAGCAGTGCGACCTTCAACTTCGGTTCCCAACACCAGCTTTGGCTGGGCTTCGATGAAGAAGATGACCTCGCCCAAAATAGCGCAGCAGCGTTCCAACAACGGACGGGCAGAGTGTTCCCAGCCCACGAAAACGTGAAAAGACCCGCAAACCAATTTCCTACCCGATACTTCTACTCACGGACTAAATCTGGACGGACTCCCAAGACAGCAGCCCGAGGCTCATTTGTATCTACCGAGAAACTAGAGAAAAAGGGGACCCAACCCCCTGGCAAGGCAAAAGAAAAAGGCCGAATGGCCTAAGACTGGCACGTAGGGACTACTTGTGACAGATCTAGGGGTCAAGCCCAATAAGTCTCACAACTAACAAACAAAACATACCAGTTACAGGTCACGGGATCAAGTCCTGCAAGGCTCAAAACAAGAAAACAAACTACAAAGCCGAACACTTAAGTGTACAGCCCCACTAGGAAACTGCGATTTATTGCAAGCTGATGGCCTAAATTTTATAGAATCAAGGCACTGGTTCAGTGGTAGATGGGATTTGTGTCTTCAGTCCTGCTGCTGCTGCTGTTGTTGTTGTTGTTTTCTTCTTTCCTATTGTAGACTTTTTTCCTTCTTTTTTTCCATTTAAAAAAAAGCTGGTATGAAATTAGGCCGTGACTCGACGGTGGATGGGGATTTTTTGTGCTTGGCTGCCTGCTTACTTGGTTGACTCAGCTCTGAACAAAGCGGCTAACACATGGATTGGCAATGACCTCGTACGAGGTGTGAGTGGCGGTGAGCGGAAGAGGACAAACATTGCGGTAGAGCTTCTCTCAGATCCATCACTGCTGTTTCTTGGTGAGTGAATGCAGTTGTACCTGTGAGGTGCTCAGCGGGCATTAAAATCAAGATAGCTGTATATTGCATGTAATTACCTACCATGTCTTTCCCAAATCATTCTGGAAAACCCATGCAAACGTCTTGCTGCTACAATTGCTCAAACTTCTCAAACAATTTGCTTGTCGCTGTTTTAAAGAGGGTGGAAGGCTTTGTGCAATGTTTTTCTATCTTTTGATTCTTTTTCAAATTGAGTGTCCAGTTTTTTTAATTTGTTCTGTTCTTAGCTCTTGTATCTAATTTTTTTGTTCCTTCCGCAGGGGCCATGCTAATCTTCTCTGTATTGTTCCAATTGTAATGGATGTCCTAAAAGGAGCGACCACTACTAATGCAGACGTTAGAGATGTAGAATCATCACTCGACAAGTCGGGAGATAAATTTGTGCTGAAGACAATATTTTGATTGGTTACCCATTTTTTTCTGAAAAGCAAAAGGGGACGGTATGGACTATGTATGTGTCATTGCATGTGTATGTGACTGTTGGCTATATATGCCATGATGGCATCCATCTGCGCTTCTTCCCGATGAAGGCCTTCAACAGGACTTCAACAAAATCTGGTGGCCAAGATATAAGACACTGTCTTGTCCACAGATTTCTCATGTTCACATGGAGCTTCTGCGCTTCCTTAAGGATCTCAAGGACTTCTTTCTATTGTTGTTGTTGTTCCTGCATAGATTTACTGGAAATCAGTATGTCATCAAGGTATATGATCACAAACTTGTAGAGCAAGTCCTTGGATACTTCGTGAGGTTCTGAATGTTTGCTCATAACTATCATATTCGGGACAGACGACTAAACGACATCTCGAAGCGCTACAGCCTATAGGTGATACAGGCGAGATCCAGTCGTCACAGTCAAATTATTTTTTTACTGGAAATAGCACCTGCCTAACTCGAAAGAGACCTTGTAACAGGAAAGCACTGGCTAGTTCGCCAGTAGGGAAGGGGTTCAGGTATCTGCTGCCGAAATGCATGACAAGAAACTAACTCCTAGAGTCCATTGCTGTCATGAAAGCCGATTTGTTTGTTTTTTTGGTCCATTGGATGAGATTCTGAATGTTTGCTGATGTGCCAGTCCTGAAAGGCATGATAAGAAACTAACTTCTAGAGTCCACTGCTGTCGCGAAAGCCAACTTTTTTTTTTGGTCCACTGGATCAACCTCGATGTAGTGTGATCTATTCTTGAGAGCAATCTTGTTGAACACTTCACAATCAGCAGCTTCAATGAGGAGATAATCAATAAAGGGCAAATGATTGATATCTGTGCGTGTCATACTATGGATGCCTCAATAATCAAGACACATTCCGAAGAAAACAATGGGTGCCCCACACTCCAGAATTTATCTGTAAGCTGGTCAAGCTACTTCTTGAGCTCCTCCATTTCAGATGGACGCATGGGTTTGGCTCCTGGAAAGAACGCCAATCCTTATGCTTAGCTTGTCTTTGAATATTCGGACAGCACACCCGAATCCTCATTCAGTAGAATATTGATATTAAGTGGGATCTTCTCATTGGATTCACTATTAGGGGCAAGCGGAGGACTTGCATTGAGTGTCTTGAACAAGGCCAAGTACGTGTATGTTTCCTTCGGATTATAGTACTAGTACTTGCAAAAGGCAGAAGGATTCAGGTGTAATGGCCTGACCAAACACGGACTGAGACGCACAGCTGATTTCTGAGTTTTGCTCATGGAATGAATGCCTTGCTGAGTTTCCCGCTTGTTACTGAGTTCTCTAAGTCTGTGTGTGTGCACGCTTGCTGGTCGGCATGCCTGTCTGAGTGCTTGTTGGCTTGAGTGCGTGTGTGACCTGCAAGGGCACTTGTTCGTTCAGTGGGCCCGAAGGGCCGGTACTTACCTGTTGCCATGACGTTGAGGATTGCGGCGGGGAAAACACTCAAGTGGCGGGTAAAGAGGCCCGCAACACGTGAAGCAGTGGAAAACACTCAAGTAGCAGGTAGGCTGGTACCACACCAGGTAGAGGTAGATGTGCCGGTAATCGAGGCCGAGCAGAAGAAGACAAAAGTTGGCATTTTTAGAGGCCCAGTAGTTGTAGGCTAGGTCTAGGCGGGTAACAGTCCAACCAGTCTGAGTCTAGGGCCTGTACGGGCAATATCAGAGTCTGCAATGATGTTTCCCTCCGAAAGGGAGGAGATACCTGTTGCTTGGAGGCCGCGCGGCCTAGGAAGTGACTCACCAAGAGGCAAGCAGGCCGCTATATCGCCAGGATGAGCCAGTTGCTCCTCCTCATTGACTGTGTGCAAGTTTGGCGACACACTGCTTGGAGCGCTGGCTGGAGCAGGGCTAGCACTCAGCTGCGCTGCTGGGGAAGGAGCAAGGACACGGAGGAGGAAGAAGACCAGGACTAGGAAGGAGAGCGCCAGAGGTACTTACCTGGCTACGGTGGTTGCCATCTTCATCACCTTGGTGGGCGCGGCAGCAGGAAGGCCCAGTTGGGGCAGAGCTACACCAAGAAGCTTCGAGGCAGAGTCAGGCATGGCGGCCTGAGCTCGGGCAGCCATAGCTGCTTTGTGTTGTCCTTTGGACAGCAGGGCGATGCCCTGGCAGTCTGCCATAGCCTCGGCCTATGAGGAAGAGAGAGAGAGGGGCAGCCATGGCTATGGTGGACCTTAAGTGATACCTGCAGTAGAAGAGGGACTCGGACATTGATTCTGGATCAGCCATTCAACATTGTTATCATTATTCTTGTTTGGAATAAGAGGGGAAGAGATAAAGAGGAGGAGAGTGGTTGGCGAAAAAGAAGAGCATTATCATTGGTCTATGGTGGTGTACATCATCTTCCTCTTCTTTCTTTCTTTCTTCTTCTTGTTCTTCTTCTTACCCTCTCTCTCCTCTCAAGTTCATTCATTTCTTTTTTGCTATTGGATGGCATTGTACTTTCTGATGAATGTGTACTTCGAAATTGGCCAGGATCATAACACAGGCAATGAAAAATGACAGAGAACAGTCCTGGAGGTACAGTGCACAATATTGAGTCAGGCGTGAAGTGTGGACCAGTGTCCCAGATCCAGGCTAGGGGCACACAACCGGGCCCCATTCATGAGTAAATCTGGATGGGCCACAGGGGGGGACTGCCGGATCGGGTGGAAGCTAAGGTTGGGGCAACACGATTAAGGAGCTGGACTAAACTCAGTTGGGACTTGGAGAGAGTTTTGAGTAGATCCCGCCCAGCATTCAGTACCCAAAGTGGATGGGGACATCATTGGAAAGCGAATGTGCTACTAATGGATGTATCCGGCGTGACATGCATCCGGATTTGGGCCGTTACCATCATGACACCTACGCTAGTGGGACTGCAGGGCCTGCAAGAATCCAGCTCAAATTCAACTCCAGTCACAACCATGCACCACACCTTATTCCACACAAAGCACTCGGCAAGGTAGCGAGATAGCATTTTGCCGAAAACAGAAATGTTTATTCCCAAACACACAAGTTATCCAAGTTCCAAGCTCATAGTCCATGAGGCTATGGCCGCCAGCTCATCATCCTTACTCAGGTGACCTCTACCTCCCTCTCTCTCTCTCTCTCTCTCTCTCTCTCTCTCTCTCTCTCTCTCTCTCTCTCTCTCTCTCTCTCTCTCTTGTCTCTTATACACATCTAGATGTGTATAAGAGACAGCTCTCTCTCTCTCTCTCTCTCTCTCTCTCTCTCTCTCTCTCTCTCTCTCTCTCTCTCTCTCTCTCTCTCTCTCTGTGTCTGTCTCTCCTCTCTTATATCTCTCATTCTCCTGACTCGGATCGCTCATTCTCACTCTCTGAATGCACTTGCTGCTCTCGCTCGTCTACTACCCTATCAGCTATGGTGGTCGTCTTCTTCCTTGCTAGCCCTAGCTATGGTGCTGCAGTGCCAGCTTCTTCCCCAATCTCCCCGACCAGTCCTGTTTGGTCGCACAAGTGTTCAGCAGAGCTTCCGCAACTCGTCAATTGACAAGTGTTCCCCAGAGCACTGCAGCTCTATAAATAGAAGCTGAGTTGAGGTCTTTGTCTGCTCCTGACCAGTGGCTGCTGCTAATTTTGGACTGGAACGTTGGACTTTCTTGTCGGGTACCGGACCTACCTGACTCCAAACGACCCAAAACGTTTCTGACGGCCTATCACGGCTCTACCGGCCTACGGGGCCTGAGCTCGGCACTTCGACCGCTGGGCCTGTCAAATCAGTTACTTCTCGTGGGAATGGGACTATTGGGACTCTGGGACCGGGACTCCGGACAGATCTGAGACGTGAAATCCTTTGATGCCTCTCCAATTGCTGGAAAATCCCTACTGGATCTCTTTTTCAATTTGCCCACATGTCCCTGTTCGCCCTACTTTTTACCTGAAAGTCCTACCGCACGAAATTTCTGTTTTGTCCCTGTATTTTCCCTTGGTTGCAGATATGTTCATCCCAAAGCACAGAACAACAGCACAGCCACACAGTTAGTACTTCAACACATTCAACGTACCCCATATTTGCTAGATAGAGACACCCCATATTTGCTAGATAGAGACCCTCACTCACAAGCAAACCAACAGGCATCCGGTGCAGGGGTTTTGGCAAGAGCTCAGCAGCAGGCAGTAATTTCTCGGAAAACAGAAAGTTCTCACACAGCAACCTGCTACGGTTATTGCACCTCAACGAAGCCGCAGGTAGTTGGGAAGAATATTGTCCCTTTCTTGTTTTTAATTAAGGACGTATCCCCTCACCTTATTGTTGCGAACATGGTGGTGGTATCCAGTTCGGCCACCAGGCAGGTGTTTCATTGTGTCACCCAGTAGGTATGGCTTGGAAAGATCTGTATTTGCGACATTGAGAGAAGCTTGCAGCTTAAGGACTTTGGAACGAGACACTTGACAACGTAGAAACTAGGTACAGTCAAGCTTGAGATGCATTGGAAAACTTTGTGCCCGATTTCGTGTTCAACGCTGAATTGCCAGTTCCAATCTGTTGATTTGTTAAGCTAGTATTGTAATGGAAATGGACAGTAAGCTGTCAGATCTGAATCTTTGAGAGGGAGAGGTTTTGGTGAAGTACAACATGTGGTGCCATAAGCTGAAGTCCATGTGGTGCCATAAGCTGAAGTCCATGTGGTGCCATAAGCTGAAGTCCATTGTGTTTTTCCTGTTTGGAAGATTGTGTAGTTGATTTGATGAATGTGCATGTCAAGTAGACTTAGGAAAGCAAACTGCAAGATTTTGGTTTTGAAGATTGCGAGTCAGAGGTTGTTGTGAAGTGCAACGTGGACTGACGTCGGTTTTCTTCTGCCTGTTTGTCACCCATGTTGTGTTCCCCATGAATGTTCATGTTTGATTTTTCTGTGCATGCAGATGAGCCAACATCAGGCCTGGACAGGTATGGCTGTGAACACTATTCAAAATCAAGCTCGTGAAATAGAATGCAATGCAGCACACATTTGGAAGGAAGGAAGGAAGGAAGGAACGGACGAAGGGAGGGACTGACGAATGAACGGACAGACGGCAGCACAAAGGGATGCACAAATAGACAGAATGAAAGGAGGGAAAGAAATGAAGGAAGGAAGGAAGGAAAGAAGGAAGGACGGAAGGAAGGAAGGAAAGAAGGAAGGACGGAAGGAAGGAAGGAAAGAAGGAAGGACGGAAGGAAGGAAGGAAGGAAGGAAAGTTGTGGATCGCATATTGGTCATCCAAGAGACCACACCAGAGGCCCTGTGGTAGCAATTCCAGACACAAATTTTGGTTGTTGTTCCAATCAGTGCGGTCTTCTGTGACATGGTGTGACAGTATCGAGTTTGCTAAACCTGGTTCTGCCCGATGGAAGAGCCTTCCCCTGCAGACTGAACCTAAGGTCCAAATTGTGCACAATCCTGGTAAACAAATAAGATTTTATGAACTTGTAGTGACTGCATGCATGAGTGAGTGGTGTTGTGGCTGTGGACAGTTTTCAGGCTCTGAATGTCATGAGCACGCTGAAGAGTCTGGCTTCGTCAGGAAGGACTGTGGTTTGCACCATTCATCAACCCAGGAGCAGCATCTTTGCACTGGTAAGTTGTTAACGTGAATTTTGAACTAATTTGAAATAATTCCTCAGCTGGCTTCCAATTTGCTGTTGTTCAGTATTGGACTCCATCTGTGTGCAGGCTATTGGGCTCATGTTTGCTTGAAGTATTATTATTTATCTCCTCTTTGCTTTCCTTGTCTACTAAACACTACTAAAGTTAGTTGGCCGCGGAGCCTACACTGATGGTGGTGGGCGCTTTCCCATCGTTGGATGTTGGAATGGGCAGTCTAGATTTGTCCTGGAGGCTGGAACACTATCTTTTGTTGACAGCTCGTGGTGCAAATGGCCGACGGGTGGATTGTAAGAAGCCGCAGATGCAAAAAAAGTGTGCAGAGCTGATGTCGGCTGTGTGATAACGTGTGTCAGAATGTGTCCGGTTGTCAGAGGGTGTGCAAAGGAATTTGCCAAAACGGGAAAGTGTGTCAGAGTGTGTGGGGAGAAGTTTCCCGAAAAGGGAAAAAGCCCAGGTGTGATTTGTGCTTTTTGTTTCCTGCTCTTTGTTTCTTTCACTTTTTTCTTTTTATTGTTTCTGTGCCATGCAGTAGACTGAAGTCTGAATCACAGTGGAACTCACATCTTTCTTTTTTGCGCCTTTTTGTTCTTTCGTTTTGTGTTTCCTGCTTGTTTTTTTGGGGGGGGAGGAATTGCATCTGTACCATACATGCGGCGCATCACGTGCGCACAAGTTGCACACGTTCGCCAAATAGTTCATGCGCACACGTGCGCGTGTACGTGATGCGGCGCATTTACAAAATAAAAAAATAAAAAAGGGTAGGCCATGGTAACCACAAGTGCCCCTCCCTTTTGAAAATTGTAAGTCCACAAAAAAAAAAATATTTTGGGGCCACTTCGTACTACTCATTGGATCTATTTTCTTTTCCAGAAGGTCCCCTGCAAAGAATCAGCAGGGTTCCCATACTTCTGGAAGCATGTTCATTGAACTGCTGGCAGACCACGAGCAGGCCAGCAGTATATCCTGGATTCGGATTCAGGTCTGTGTTCCAAGAGTTATGGGTTACGAAAGTACTAACAAACACTACAGTATCTGTCTTGTTTTTTTGTTTTTCCTTTTCTTACGTGCAGTGGCCCTAAGGGCCTGGCTCCAGTCATCACAAAAGAAAAACACGTGGCCCTAAGGGCCTGGTTCCAGTCTGTAGGAGGAGAATCATTCTAGTTTTGCACATTTGATGTGCAGTGCAGTGAAGCCCTGAAAATCACATGCCGAGTTAGTAAGTCAGTAACCCATAACTGCTGAAACACGGACCTGAATCCGAAGCTACGCCATACTACAAGTCCAGTGACGACCCTTCTCCTGCTGACAGGACACGTGTCAATTTTTGGCAGGGACCTTTTGAAGCACCGGCAGGGGTTGTCTGAATAATTTGAAAGGGCTCTTTGCAGCGTTACGCTTTGTCCGTTTGTCTCTCGAAGGCATTCAATGGCCGCAATTCTTTCCCTCGGCCAATCATCCCTTCCACTAGCACAGGCATCGGCTTGGCGGATCATCATGCTCTCTCTCTCTCTCTCTCTCTCTCTCTCTCTCTCTCTCTCTCTCTCTCTCTCTNCTCTCTCTCTCTCTCTCTCTCTCTCTCTCTCTCTCTCTCTCTCCCCCTTCAGTGTGTATGCACACATCACGGTTGCTTCTTCTTCTTCTTCTTCTTCTTCTTTTCCGCGCATCCGCGATCAGCGCACCGGGCAGCACGCACCGCACTTCATCTATGCGCCGCAAGTTTTTTTTTTTTTTCGGACCGCACTGCGCAGCGCACTTTATCTATGCGCCACAAGTATGATCTGTACCCGACTTAAAGATGGGAATACCTGCTATACCCATTCCCAACACCCAACTTGCATCAATACCTGGACCCCGGTAAACTTTGCATAGTACCCGACTTTTCCTCTGTGCGAAATTGTAGGCATACCCGGTCCCGCAGGCCCTGAGTTTCAGGCAACGAAATTATGCCCTTGCCCAGAAACGGGGTGGCAAAATTGTGAGTGTACCCACAGCCAGGGGTGGGCCTTGGATGATAACCACAAAATTATGCTAATGCCCACCACTGGACCGTTGTGGCCCAGCGGCTTCTGGGTATGAGCATAATTCCAGCCATCCGGTAGTAGGGTATATGAATAATTTAGCCGGTCCACCTCATTCCTGGGTATACCCATAATTTTGCCTGGGTATGTCGATAATTTGTACATTCCGGTAGTTGCAGTACCAACCTGGGTCCACCTCAGTCCTGGGCATGCAAATAATTTCGACCGGCAGTTTTCCTGGTATCGGTGCAAGTTGGCGCTGGGACTGGGTATAGTTTGACACACCCATCTTTAAGTGGGGTTTTCCCTTCTTTTTTTTTTGTTTTGTTGTTTCTATGACAGTGACGGAAGTTCACGTGTTTCTTTTTTGCTCCTTTTAGTTCTTTCGTTTTTGTGGTTCCTGCTTGTTTTTTTTTGTGTGTTTTGTCATTCCTATGAATCTGTGCAGTGTCCGAACCAGACCAGTACTTACACAGCCTCAGATCCCTCCGCATGTAAGCACACGGATTGAAACTGGCATCCTTGGCCTCAAGAGCCAATCATCATACCCACTGGAACCATGACACGATGTTCAAAAGTGGAACCATACTGGTCGTGATATCCACCCCACCCCTGCATGGCCGCAGTGTCCATACTCACACACACACAACAGCCCACATACTAGTCTCTTGCGCACTTGATCTTGATCCCCCACATGACCCTCAACCACGAGGGGGCCTTTCCCCAAACGGCCACCCGGTGACTGAAATTGCGAATCCCAGTGTGGAGTGCTGTGACAGCCCAATCACCGACCTGTTTCTGGGCCTTTCTGGCCTCAGTAGCCCACTTGAGTACAGACCCTCCAAGGGGGGCCACAGTGGACTGCACCTTGTGGACCTCAGCACAGGTGAACCCCTTGAGGTAAGACCTCATCTGGGCAATCCAGTTTGACAAACCCACTTCGGTATCATTCCCAGTGAATTTGTCAGGCTGGGCCATCTTGGGATACCTTGGTTCCTGCTGGCCTGAGCCTGCAGCAACCGGTCCTGCAGGAGAAACAATGTGCCCTGTCCCAGGAGCAGGCTGCAGTTGCACCTTGAGGGGAGAAACTGGTCTGCTCTTGGGAGTGCTAGGATCAGATGTTGCAGCAGTTGTGGATGGTGCATGGGAATGAGCATGGGATGTTGGAGGTGTAGGAACAGGTGGAGGAACCTGTTGGAAGGAAGCTGCAGAAAGATGATCCACTGCCTCAGTGAGGGAGTGGCCCTCAATGAGGGGCAATCTGTTCTCTGCTCCAGTAATCCGTTCATCCCAGGATGTAAACACATCATTGACAAGGGATAACGGTTGGTTTCAGTAAATTTGGAATCAACTTCAGCTTTGGCAAAATGCGCAGACGGCTGTTCTCTCAGGCTCGTCTTCTTTTGCCTTCCTCTCTGCTTCTTCCTTCCACTTCCTCAACTTACCTTCTGGCTGCTTCTGGAACTTTCTCCACTTCTTCCAACTCCAACTCAAGGGGCATCTTTCTGGGCTGCTTACCGACCCTCACGTCACTTGTGCCCTCATCCACCATTCTCTTCTTTTCATTTCTTTATTTGTGACAGAAAAAGGAACAAATAAAAATAATAAAGCAATCTAGATTAACGTTCACACACAGAAGACATTTAATCGGAGTTGAACTGTGCTGTTTAGTTCAGAATGGAAAAGGATTAGGAGTATAGCAGATTAGTGCTGAATGTCAATAGGCAGTCTGGGAGGTTACATGCTCACACTTGCAGCAAAACAGTCAACAGGTCACTTTGACGGAGCCTGCAACCAAATCAGAAAACAAAGGTTTTCTTTATTCTTTTCTGACCTGGTGCGTTGCGTGCGCGCGCGCGCGCATGTGTGTGTGTGTGTGTGTGTTTGATGAGAGACGAAACCCCCACGAGTAAAGTCACAGCGAGTTGCGCGGAAAAAGCACGACAAGAAACATGCCAAAAAATTAATTGTCCACTTCATATGGTTATGAACTTACGATCAAAACAAAGCAAACAAGCAGAATCTAAAATCCCTAACAACGAGCCAAATAGACTAGAACTCGGGGACGCTACGCTAGAAGGCAGCAGGACACACAAGCACACGGAGTGCACAAAGCAAGGCACAAAGCAATTAGCTGCCCAGGTAAGCAGCACAGGAAGGCAAGCGGCAGGGGGCAGGAAACAGCAAAGCAAATGGTAGTGCAGCAGCACACAGTGAGGCAATGGATGAAGAGGCACTGAATGATAACCAACAACAAGGCACTTAGGCCGGAGGGCTCGGGGAGGGCGGGTGGCACACAAACAAAGCAGCAAAAGAAAAAGACAATTAGCTAAAGAAAAAACAATGAGAGACATAGTCTGGAGGGCGAGGGGGAAGTGAGTGGGCAGGCAGTCAGCACAAGGCAACAAAAGAAATGGCAACAGACCAAGAGACAAAGACTGAAAAAGGTAAAAGCTGATGGGACTCTGAACGAGGAATGACCGACTGTTTGGCACTGCTTAAACAAAAAATACTTGGAAAAAATCGAAGAAAGAACAAACAGCAAAAGAAAGACTGACATACGTAAAACTGATTGTGTGTGTGTGTGTGTGTGTGTGTGTGTGTGTGTGTGAGAGAGAGAGAGAGAGAGAGAGAGAGAGAGAGAGAGAGAGAGAGAGA